AAATGATGGGAGAGGAAAGGGCAGGAGTGGGAAGAGAGAAGGGAAATGTGATTTCATCATAGGCTTAAAGTGAGTGAGAAATATTTTATTACACTCCGTATGCTGATACAATAAAATCTTCCTTAGATGTCTTTCATGCACACACTCACGCTTAATGATGGAGAGTAGCCGTGAAAAACTGTGATGCTGACAATTAAGACGTTGTACACAGTGATTTGTTACAATTTTAGTGTTGCTATGGCAACATACTTTGTCAAAAAACCAGCATCTCTGTCAGATAATAGTACGTATCCCCATATTGAGCTGGAAACCCCTTTATGAATTTCACAGTCAATTTTACACATCGTTTATAACATTTTGGAGCCTTAAACCATTTTGCTCTATATGGTTCCATGATCAAAATGAAACACATGCAGCTTTCACCATTACCATTTGAAGTAGTCAGATTTTGATACATAACCAAAGTACTAAGTCCTTAACTACTATTTGTTCTTGCAGCAGGGAAAAAAAGGTTGTTGTGCCATGTTTTTGTGACTGTTCTTGTGGAGCACTCATAAGTTGTCAAATAGCTCTGCAGTGCAGTATGATTTGCGACATTTTGAATTAAAAAAAAACACAAATAATTGGCAGGATGTTTGGGAGAAGGTAATGTGAAGTAGAAAGAGTCTTTCATTGGAAAAAAAGAGCTTCTGAGTGGGAGGTGAGAGGAAATAATTTGGTGGAAACACACCTTTTAAAATGTGATTAACCTGCTACTCATTAATGGTTCAAAGATTATAATTGAATGTAACATCATACTTTCAATAAGACTGTTTTACCGGCTGACAGAATGTCTTCCCTCAGAATGAAAATGTCCCTTTTAATTTAAAAGAAACATGACATATTTGACCTTCTCTCTCTATGCAGCTTCCATCTGTCTCACTTTTCCTTTTCAATGATGTGCCTTTCTTCTCATCCTCTATAGAGCTTGTTTTCTTTTTTTAGACAAAGCTGACTCTTCCCCTCTTTGCTCTAACCCTTTTTGATTATAGTGTTTGGGAACAGAGGACCTTGTGGCTTTGGTGTTATGATCGTTTACTTTCTGTTATCTGAGCGGTCATGGCTGCTTTCAGGCGAACCTCAGCCCGGTCATCAGCCCTCAGAATAAGAAGCGGTATCTTTTCCGCCCTCACTGCGGTTCTGATTATCTAACTGCATCACTTCGGCAAACTCATAACATTGTCACGTCTCAAGGTACTTTGTGTTAGGGAAATCGGATGTTTGAAAGAAATCTCTCTCTCGGTTTTTCTCTCTCACACACACACACACACACACACACACACACACACACACACACACACACACACACACTCACACACCCACACAAACAGTAATCTTTATGTGCTTCAGCAGCAAAACAGACGGAGGTGCATTGACCATTAGTTGCAAAACAAATCAAACTTTGATGCTGACGAGTTCAGCTTTCCTTTCAGTCTCTCTTTGTATGTTCACGGAGAGACGCAGATGAAGGCTTAATGAGCAAAAATATGATTGTACATTCAGTAAGTAGTTATTGTGAAACAGAAATCCGCTGCGCTTTGTTGCAGACAATGCGGTCGTCTGTGAACACATTCTGGAGTGACTAATGGTCTCTAATGGATGACAGGCAGCAGCAGAGCCTTCACAGACAAAAGCAAAGATACATTCCTCTCTCTGTCGATAGCCAACCTTTAACTGGGCATAGAGTAGAAGGACAAATCGAAGGTTACATTTCAGTTTTTTAATATTAAAATCCTATAAAAATGATATTGCATATTTGCCAAATCTTTGTTTTCATGTTTCAAAGAGAAATGGTATAGTACTGAGGGGGGTCTATTAGTAATGGGGTATTCAGTTTGGTTCTAACTGAAAACAAAATGCTACATTTCGCCAAATTGTTCACACTATAAACACACAATAAATCAAGTTTATTAATTGATAATCATTTGAAATGAGACAAATTTGCTATGAATCAGAAATCTAACACTCAACAGACAAAACCATTGATTTGGGCCTTTTTTAAGGTTTATTTCATCAAACAAAATGTTTAAATGTTTTCATATTTCAACTGTATTATAGCATCCTTACCAGTTATATCAGGATTTCATGGTTATATAAAACACCTTTCATGTTTTTTTTTAAATCCACCCTTCCAGGGGGATCAGCTTGATCCTGCATTTTGGCATCTAAACTGTCCCGATCTCTGCCTGTAACTTAACGCTTAAAGCTTAAAGCTTGATCGGATTTCTAAATGCAAAAACTAATTGAAATGATCAGGATCTTCAGATTCAAAAGGAACCTATATTAGTATGTAGGCTCAATGCCGTATCATGCAGACCTATCAGGAAGTTGTCATATTATTAATCAATAAAGTTTTTACAGCCCAGTCACATTTCATTTGGCTCTCTCATCCTTGGATATAAATAAAATATCATCACTAAGGTTTCATTACCTTGCATAAGAAGACCAACAAGTCTTAAAACTATCAATCTATCCACTTCAGATTTTGTCTCACAAATTACTTTGGCTGTTGAAGGAAGCGAAGCAAGAAAGCAGAGCTGCATCACGACAGCCAACAAGCCAGCAACAGTGAATGTATTTTCTGACATTTGCCTTCTCACATTTCTTTGCCCTAAGCAAATAAGACAACAGTAGAAAAGCAGCATTATTTAAAGTGTACACATTCATAGGTTAGAGTCGACAGAATGAGGTCTGTGGGGGTTGGAGGAAGGAGAGAAACTGACAGAAAGAAATACAGAGGCAAGGAGAGTACCGTATATGCTTTGTCTAGAATCCATCCAAATAATCTGTCCTTTGTCTTAAGATAAGATAACATGGGGTTTATACGTGTGNGTGGAAGCGGCAAAGCAAAGCTATCCATCCCTCTGCAGACCAAATGACATGAGATAGCGTGAACGCTGACATTTCTCAGCATTTTTTTCATCTCTGTGATCAATGCAGCAATGCAAACATATTACATTACATGTCACTTGTTAGACGCTTTTATCCAAAGTGACTTACATACATTCAGTACTGTGGGCAATCCCCACAGGAGCAATTTGGGGTGCAGTGTCTTGCCCAGGGACACAACGACATGCTGACTGCAGTTCAGCGCATTAAGTTCAGCGCACTACCCCACTGAGCCACAGCCTCCCACTATACACAGACACTGGAAACTGAATGCAGCTCAGGTGCCAAACCCCTCCATTCAGTCACCTCCACGGCAAGACGTTTACCAGTGACTGACAAATTACAGCCGTAAGTGGGTGAAAACGCGGAGATTGTGGCAGTCTGCGTTGATTGAATCAATCAAAACTATGAGTCAGACCTGTAGCGATGCAATTAATTGTCACAAGTTACTAAGAAACTATTTTTAAAGTTAATTGACTATTACTGTGATTGACACTCTTGGTGAAAAACAAAACACTTTCTTATATTCCTGTTATTCTTATAAATAAATGTAATTGATCTAATCAAAAACTAACAACAGGTATAGAAAATAAAGGTTTGCGTCATAGTTTGAGACAAAGTTGCATGATGTGTGCAGGTGGGGGAAGGAATATGGAAAAAGCTTCTTGAGGATGTTAAAAACACCTTTTTCAGGTCTTCAGATACATTGATTTTGATTATTCACCGTTCAGCCACCCAGGATCTTTTGAAAGTACTCTACAAAAAGACTAATGTCATTTAGTCTTTGTAGACAAGTTACACACCCAGGGTGCTTTAGTTTTTGTATCATTTACCTCCAATTACCTTAAGATTAGAATTGCCTGTGGCCTCACAAATAAGAAAACATGGACACTTTTTCACAAATAATCATGCCTCTTCTCTGCTGCAGTCACACAAACACACAACAACACACACACACACGGTTCACTGCACTTGAACAAAGTGTGCTCAGAGTCACTGTGATGGAGAGATACTCATATTAAATAAGGTTTGTAGAAAGGTGGTGCACTTGCAAACGAAAGGCCTGCATAAATCTCTCGAGCACCAAGGCCAGTGAAACAAAATGAATGCACTTTTTATCACCCTCTACAAACAAAATGAAAACAATTATTTTGTGCTGTGTGGTTTTTTATACTAATGCAGGCATGAATCCCGTCATTTTCAAGGTGCCACCCCATTCTGGAACATTGCTATCACAGATATGAAGTAGAAAGTCTTCTTTGAATACCATGGAGTATGTTTCAACAAGCCAGCCAATTTCAGCAAATCCATTTCAACCCTCACATCTTGCCAAATTCTCATTAGGCCATCTTTTCAGCCAGTTATTGCAGTATTGATTTCCATTCCCGTTATGTCTTTTGAAAGATTACATTTTCATATAAGTAAAATGTCTACGATGGTTTCCACCAGACAAGGCCATCAGTCTTGTTTTCTGTAAAGGTGCACCGATGCGTTCATTTTCTGATTCGACAGAAAGTTCTGTTTTGAACTTATATTTCGATACCATTTTAGACTTTTTATGCATTTAAATACATTCATGCATATATTGCTTACACAGCCTGGTTTGACTACCTCAAACCTTTTTTAATTTTACAATTAGCAAAACCTATACGATATCACAGAGATTAGTATTCAAAATGAATAAGCAACACTGCTTATACATGTGTGTAAATATTGCAAATATCTAAATTGTCAAATGCATGTTGATAGGGTTGTAAGTGTTTAATGTGTTTGTGGTAAAGATCAAACTGTGTTTTTTTCAACAATATGCACGAGTTAAGAGAGACAGGAAAAATATGATTAGACTACTGATCTTTTTTTTAGATTTGTGCTTTGCTGTAACCATCTCAGATTGGTTGATGTGTTGGCCGCCTGCTCCTTCTTCCATCTTTCTTTGATTTTCTCTGTCCTTTTGAATGTTTCTGTGCATTGTGTTCCCCAAGAGACACCAAAACGCACTTGACACACATCAACCTTTCACACGGTTTCTGGTTTATAAGGTTTACTGACTGTCTGTCTGTCTCTCTGTGCAGCTTTAAGGGACAACAGGATTGAGCTGATGCATGCGTCGTTGTCCGAGCTGACCATCAGCATGAGTGATGTCACGCTGACGGATGAAGGCATGTACACCTGCTCCCTCTTCACCATGCCTGTGAGAACGGCCAAAGCCTACCTGACTGTTCTCGGTGAGTACCTTTTTAAACATTTAATACAATTCCTGCTTGAAGGAAATGTTCATTTGTAAATAATTGGCCACAATTACTTTAAAATATAGGTGGACTTAAGAATTGGTATATAAGTGGGAAGAACATAAGTCATAGATAAGCTTCTGTTCTTCCAATTCAATTAAAATATCTTTATCAGCGTGACTATATTTACATACAGTTTTTCAAATTGCAAAATCCATACCCAATTACACATTTGAAACAAATTCTGAACATAAGCAAGAACAACATGTTTTTTTTCAGGGTTCGTTTTATTTATTTTATTGTTTGTTCTTCCAATTACTGGAGGTTACCAACATAGCTAATAGTGTTTTTTGTTGATTTTTCATTACTAACAATAAATGGGTTAATTTGTTGCGCTAAGTATTTCAGAAAAAATGAACCGTTGATACAAATAGCCTGTTGCTTATGCCAGCATCTGCTGACAAATAAAAACATAATATTGGACTCTTCGGTAATGGTTTTGTTGTGATCATCACCCCCACACAAACATAGCATTGTCTCATTTCCTGCCACTGGGATTATTATCTTGCCAATTAGTTCCCGCTAATGTTAATAGATGTCCTAGTGCACTCCAGGACCATTAGCAGCCTCTCTATGTTAACAAGCATTTAGAGAATTAGAGACATTAAAGGCTACTGCTCAATAAGGCTACAGAGAAAATTATGTTTTTGCAATACTGAACAATAGTTAATGGCTGGGAGATGTAATTAACATAAAAAAATAAGTCTGTTTCTGGACGGTGAGTGCTAGGAATGATAATAGGAATACTTTGGAATTTATTTGGAGACAAAATACCTAACTATTGGGAAATAAATCACAAAAATGATTTGATTAAATAGATCTTAAAGAGATATCAATGAGAACCATCTTGCATCACAAATGGAGCTCTCATTTAATTGTCATTTCTTGAAAATGCTTGAGCGGCAGACCAACAAATATAACACAGCACATACAAATCAATGATGCACAAATGAGCAGAGAAACACACACACCCATAATACTACACACTCACATGCACACACAGAGAGGGAGAAGGATTAGCGGCCCCTAGCAAACCAAGGGGAACGTCACTGTTTAAGATGAACTTAGTATTTGATCTGCTCTCCTTCAGTCTTGGGGGAAAACCATCAAACCCTTTCCTGAGGCAGGCCACACTGCCTCATTCACTCACGTACACATACAGCACAGTACTTAGATATAAAGCCCATCCTTTGAACACATTGGGAAATATGTATAGTATTAAATTGGATGAGGAGGGATAGATCTCACTGCATACTGTACTTACTGTTTCTTCCCTTAGAGAATAGTAAACAGAAAACAGAAGGACCTTTGCTTCTGAAAATAAATCTTACAGGAGGTGATGAGAGAGACAAGGCCAGAGCCAGTCGATGGCATTGACTGACAGACCTTTCAGTGACTCTGCCTGAGGCAGACGTATTGCTCATTGACATTAGAAGGGCCCTACACACTTAAAACACTCATTTGGGAAAGGCCAGTAATTAACATCTTCTGTACAACCTCGTAGCCTCCTCTGCGGTCACTTGTGTTTGCTTACCGTGATTTACACAAACACACACAAAGAAACCTATTTTAACTTAGACCTTGTGCTATTTAGCTGGAATTTTTTGTTTTCTGTTCTCACTATTTATTGGGTGGTTAATAGTTCAAAAAGAGTAATAATTCAATCTGTTAGCATAAAAAGGAAAACTTATTTACTTTGATTGTATTTGAGTTGAACACAGACAGATATCTCCCAACATAGATAAAGGAAAAACAAACGATCTGCCTGGCTAGCTACCTCTAGATGTATGGGAGAAAATATGTGTTTTTCTGTAATTTGGGTGAACTGACCCTTAACGACTAGACGGCCCAATGGTGAGAGAGACCATCCAGCACTGTGTCAGCGAGAATCCTCCCTGGTGCGTTGTGGAGCAGGCTGCTGCTCTGTAGTCTGCTCTCTCATCGCCCTGCAGGAGCCCGAGCTGGAGGAGAATTTCAAATAAGGCATAACAATATTATCGTTGCATAATGACATGCCGCTGTGTGTGAATTAGTTCCATCGCTGTGATTTCTACGTTTCCACCCTTCAGGTGTCCCGGAGAAGCCAGAGATCGACGGCCTGACGAAGCCCGCCTTGGAGGGAGACCAAATCACTCTGACCTGCATGACCCAGGGCAGCAAGCCCGCCGCCGACCTGCGCTGGTTCAGGAATGAAAAGGAGGTCAAAGGTAAGCAACATCTGAATCTGAATGTTCTTCTGCATCACTGCTATGGGTTCACAAATACAGTGAGGGTAATATTATACAGACCGTATGTGCAGGGTTTCACCTTTGGTATTTTAAATCGCAACAGACCGAATACTTCGCCTGTGGCAATGCACTTTGCAGCATCTCTATAATAACCAACTTTACACTGGACACTGCACTTCCTTGGGTCCTGAGCATTACACCCGCCATGACTTAGTTGCGTCACATATCCAAGTCACAATAACACAAAGTCAGAAACACAGCTGAAATCAAATTTGTTTCAAAAATAAAGAAGACCAGTAACGGAATTTACCTTTAAGCATAGTAGGCAACTTTACTTTTCCTGACAGGGAGATTTGTTGCTTGTCACCATGCAGATTCAGATTTGACATAACATTTTTTTTATTAAAATGAAATATGATGAGTTAATGTTCTCCCAAATCTCAGTTTATTAGGATCAGAAACGACGGTAAAATATAGTTAGAGGAGGTGATTTCCCAGTAGGATGTTAGTCACTACGTAGCTTTGCATTACCACAACAGTTGTAAATTAGAGCATTTTTTAAAATAGCATTAATTAAGTATTTATCTGGCTGTAACGTTGTTAGTGTTATCAGTTAGCATCAAATGACACACATTACTCATGTTTTTCTACAAATCATTTTTTAGAAAAAAATATTGGACTACATATTTTTTCTCATTAGCCTTTTCTCAATGGTGTAATTTATTTTTTTACTCTAGTGTTAAAAATATACCATTAATCATTCTTTGCTTTTAGTGATCTCTACAGTAATGACTATTAACAGATGTATTGTCCAATCCCACCCAATGGTTGCTCTTTAACTACTTAACCAAGCCTACAACTTAATGTTGTGTATGGAGAGACATCCCTATATCCACCGTGTTGAAAACATATTGACAAACACAGACAACATGGCTCAGACAGTGCTTTTTGATAAACAAACTGAGCATAAATGTGCCTGAAAATGTGCATTTGTGTTTTAGAATACTTTGATGGTAATGGTTGTCGAAGTCTCTCCAGAGTATTTTAGTTCTGAACAAGTTGTTACTAATAGAGCAGATTCAGCATGTGTCCTCTGGCCTGAGACCGATACATGAACCTCGCTTGTTATCAGAGAGATGTTCTAAATCACACTGACTGGACTACACACCTCATTTCCACCCTGCCCCCGCTCTGTTCTACTTGATGAACCATCCGCTTTGTAATTGTTTGAACGGGAGAGAGCGAGAGCAAATGAGACAGAATATTGAAGAAAAGAGAGCTGGGGACATGAAATGAGTTTTTTGAGGACGAGAAAAACAGAGGCGGTTTTGTATCAAATAAAATGCAGAACCCAGTGGGGCAGACTGTCACAGATCATCAGCACAGTTGCAGAACTTTTTAACAAAGATCTTTATGCTGTTTAACGAAGTAGATTAAAGGCAGATGTTCCCACATCTAGAAAAAACAACTATTTGTATGGATTTTCTCACAGCCCTCTATTGCAGCAGCTAAACTACAGCCTGTGGCGTAAGGTTTGGCACGGTATGATAACTGTAATAATGATATGATTACTATTTTTCATTTTAACACTTTTAAAATGTGTGTATGTGGAGGTATTTTACTCAGCTTACTGCATCTGTTTAAATGACTAAAATCAAACAATGTACTTTATTGGTATTGGTATCACTATAAGGGTACTGGTACAGGGGCGGCTATGGCTCAGTAGATAGAGTGCTGGTCTTCGAATCAGGGGGTAGCAAGTTCGAGTCCCACTGCAGTCAGCATGTCGTTGTGTCCCTGGGCATGACACTTCACCCCAAATTGCTCCTGTGGGGATTGTCCACAGTACTGAAGTCGCTTTGGATAAAATGACATGTAATGTAATGTAATGTATTGATACTGGTATCTTAGTTTTTAAATAATACCCAGCCCTTAGTGTAACCCAACAGATCACTGAAACTCAGAGAACAATTAAATCCAGGTTGTGAAACACAAAGACACTTCTTAGATAAATGTATAATTATGTTGTTTTAATATATTTGTATTTACTCTATTTTAATACATTTTTAAAATACAAGATTACAATGTACACACCAAAAAGATTACCTAGCAACTTAAAAATGTTTTCTTCCAAACACCGTAAGGGCAACATGTTAAATTAAAAAAGTATTTCTATCATCATTCTCTTATCACTATTTATTGATATTTAATGTATGACTTGATTCCCTTTATAATAGTTATAACACTGTACGTTCTATAGAAGTTATGTATTATGCCTTTCATTCATTAAATGCTTAATGCTTCAGATACTACTGTTTTTCTCACAATTTCGTAATCCCAAACCACCATGCTGTTGTATTTGAGCTGTTTGTCACTCCACTTTATATTCCCTCTTGTTGCTCTACTGAGGAAAATGAAGCTTATTGAATATACACTAATTAGCAGAGTTACTATTGTTCCTTTCAGGCTTATTGTGTCTCTACGGGTGATTATTATTTCTCCCGGTGGCCCACTACTGAGAGAGAGAGAGAGAGAGATAGAGAGAGAGAGAGCTGTAAGGCAAATGGGAACCTAGCGAGGGCATAATGTTCTCCTAATTTACCACGGAAAGTTAACAGGTAGTAAGAGATATCCTTGGTGGTTTGAAGAGAAGGAAGTCTCGAGAGGATCCGCCTTCTCATTAAGGTCAGATACTATAATTCTCTCCTCAACGCGGCACACTAGACTATTCCCTCTACAATTTTATATCAGAATATTATTCACTTCGACAAGGTTGTAGTTCTTTGCTCGTAAAGGACGTTAATAGGGGCGACTGTGGCTGTGAGGTAGGGTGTTAGTGTTAGTGGGTGGTTCGATTCCAGCCCCCACAGGACACATGTCGTCTGTCTTTGGGCAAGATACTTCGCCCCAAATTGCTCCTGACGCCAGTGTTGCACCTTGTTAACAACCTCTGCCTGTGAATGGATCCATCTTCATTTAATTGTTATATATACCGTATATATACATGCATACACACATTATCATTTGTAACATTTGGACTGTCTTTGTTATTTTATACGCACGACTACTTTTCACATCTGTCTTTCCTGGGAGAGCAAGGCAAGGCAAAGAAAGACAAGTTTATATATAGCACTTTTCAACACAAGGCAATTCAAAGTGCTGTACAAAAATGAAAGACATTAAGAACATTAGAAATGTTAAAAAGCAAAGATAAGAAAACATGAATAACACAGGTACATGAATAAAGGTTACAGTGCAGTGTAAGATGTGAATAGTTCAATTAAAAGCAGCGGCAAAAAGAAAAGTCTTCAGCCTGGATTTAAAAGAGTTGCAGCGGACCTGCAGGTGTCTGGTAGTTTGTTCCAGATATTTGGCAGTATCCCTAACCAAATTCTCACATTCCTCTACCCCTAGTCTTCCCAAATTATAGTTCTTTTGACACTTTTCTAACCTAAAAAAAAAGCGATCCCTCGTCTGTTGCCTTGTGTATTTGTGATATATAAATACAATTTGGTTAATTGATTGATGGATGGGCGAATGCTGACTTGAGCTTTGAGGGGTCCCAACCACTGAAAAATCACTATATAAATGCAATGTGTGTTCACCCTTCTTATTAAATGTATAATATTTTCTATATTCCTTAAAACGTGTAAAATGCTAAAAATCAAACTGTAGGAGGCCGTTCTTATATGTATATAAATTATGAGGAAGAGAACATCAGCAATGTGTTGTCCTGTTTCTCTTTGTTCAGAGGTCTTGGGAACATTGTCCAAAAACAGAGAGCAGAACCATGAGACTTTATACAAATGTCAGATTAGCAGATTCTTGTCAGATCTGCATTTGGCCTCATCAGGAGTTTCGATCGGCGGTGACGTTCCTCCCCTCGCTAAATTCACTGAAAGCTCCCTCCTTGTCTGCCATTACACCCTCTCTTCCCCGGCTTAAGCCCAGACAGCTCTGCCTGCTATCTGGCATTAGGGCTTCCCAGGGTCCAGATAAGCAAGCAGATAAGCCCAAATCAATGGTGCTTTTGCACACACTTTTAAGCAGTTATCATGGTATCTTTCCATTTAATTAACTGTAGTTGGGAGATGATATTGGATCTGTGTCAACACATTTATCAGCCTCCCTTTAAAACATCTCCTACTATTACAAGCTGTGTTGATCTCACATACAAATCTGATTTTCAAACTCTAAAATTGAATACAAACTTAAAAAAGTATGTTTTTAAGGTTAAGAACCCTATCTTTCAAGACAAGTAGATGTCCGTTTATAATTAGCGGTTTGTCTCCCAGTGCAAACATTTGTCAAGAATATTCAGAATGTGTTTTGTTCAAGAAAAAGTCAGTTATCAAGATTTTGATTGACACATTTAGTTCTCCAATGTCACAAAATAAATGCATCTCCGTCACTTATTGAATCACTTTCTTGTATTAATAAAAAAGACAGCCGTTTTGATTTTCTTTCCACATTTAAAATCTCCAAAATAGATATACATGGAAAAAAAGGAAACATAAAGGGCAAAGCAATAAACAATGCATGTATGCACGTGTCGGTGTATGTGACTGCTCTTGAAGTGTTCATCATCCTGACAGCATCAGGGTGTGTTCAATGCAAAAAGCCATCTGATTGTGGGCGACCATGCTGGAAATAAATGACAATTGTGACATATTGGTGTGGGATCTGGGGGAATAGAAAAGATTATATTACAGGCAGAGCCACTGGAGCAGTCCATCACCCATTCCAATGCAGTTAACGGACAGCGTATGCTAAGTGTGGGTGTGTGTGTGTGTGTGTGTGTGTGTGTGTGTGTGTGTGTGTGTGGGTGTGGGTGTGTGTGGGTGTGTGTGTACAGTATATGTGTGTGTATATGGTGTGTGTGTGTGTATATGTGTGTGTATATTGTGTGTGTGTGTGTATATGTGTGTGTGAGCAAAACAGACAGATGGAGCAGACAGCCTGCATGTAAGGACATAAGCTTGTGTGTGTGGAACGGAATCCAATATTCTTATTTCTCAGTCTCTTTGTCCCTCAGATCCCCTCAGTCCCCCACCCAGTAATGATATATTTCTATCTCAGTTACACACCGTAGCCCAGAGAGACCTCTGCCAATATCACCACATGTAGCACTTGTTTACACACCGCTGAACCAGAGGGAGCTGTGTGGGGACCAAGCAAGGCGAAGATGAAATGAATATTTATTTCAAATAAGGGTGGGGATGTTGCTATCGGAGTAGAATTATTGTACTCTCTGACCTAAACTGTAGAGGTTATTGCTTCATCATGTTACGCGATAACTCTATTCCAATGGGGCTTAAGGAAGAAAACACAAGGATTTGATTCAAACTTGCTTGCGGTCACATCCATATTCTGTTGTCGAACCTGTTAGTCAAGGACAAGGAACTATTTCTGCAGACATACCTTGCACTGTTTGAGGTCGTTGTCTGCTGACTTTCAGCGTGCGATCACTCAAGTCTGCCAGCTCACTGAAGAGTCCAACAGCATCTGAACAACCTTTTCAAATAGTCTTGGCTATTTCTTCATTTATGTATAATTGTCCTTGACTACTGTGAGTGAGAGCAGAAGAGGTGGCCGTCATTACTCGAAGGTTTTCTCTTGAAAGAGCTATTGAGGAGAGTGAATAGGCAATAGCTCCTGGAGCTTATTTCAAAGAGGATGATGTTGAAGTTAATGAGAGTGCTCGTGAAAGCTAAAATAAGAACCAAGTTCAAGAATTTCAAGTAGTTTTCCAGTAAAAAGAAACACATTTTCAGTCATTTCTGCGGTGTTGGAAAATCTTGCACACTACTTAAAAAGTCTGTGTTGGGACTACATTTATGCTATCCAGCTCCCTGGGGTGGACTGGATCAATGACCATTAAAGATGTAATTTCAAGATGGCTCCTGCGAGTCTTTTTCATGAATAAAAGATGTCTAAGTCACACACACAAAAAGCGCATATTAACCGTCTGTGTCCCATGTATATGTAGCCTCACAACTGTAATCGTTTTTGTCAGACTCTTTTACCATAAGGTGAGTAGAATAAAGAGAAAACATATATTAAGCATTAATAACTCATGCACAACCTCTAAACGTGTGTGATGTTGATTAAATGTGCACAGGCAGAGGAGTTTCTAACCATGTCTCTGTCCTCATACTGTGATCAGGTTAACAGACTTAGGCTTGATGAAAGAAGAGGGGATCAGGTTGCTACACCCACTGTCTAGGCCAATTAAAGGCAACATCCTGGAGGTGGAGCACCTGTCCAGTTTTAAATGCCAAGGCACAGAGTCCAGCCAGTCCTCTCCTTTTCCACATTTATTCTCTGTGAATACTCAGGGAGTTTCATGTCAGAGAGGACATCATGATTTGGCACTGATAGAAACTCAAAAGTGCTCCCTGGTTGTAGTCAGCTGTCAGTTAGGCGCAGAGTCGTGCTGGTAAGACAGGTCAGAAAGGGGGGGGTGCTGCCAACAGGCCTGTCTCGCTGAACACTAGCCAGGATATGTGAGAAGATGGTGGACGGAACAATATATCATCTTAACACCTCACTGGAGCTGGAGCCTGCTGTGTATTAGTGCTCTAAAGTTCAGCTACCTATTTCTGTGCAGCTCCTCTGAAAGGCAAAGGAAAACATGCAGCCTAGGTGGTATTCTGCAACATTTCCCTTTGCTCTGTGAAATCTAATTGAGTGTTTTGTACTATTCTAAATGTATATATATTCAGTTTATCTTCACCCGCAGGCGATTTGAGTGGAAAATGGTTTTAAACCTCAGATGGGATGCAGTTCCTTGTATGTTGAGTCAGCCCTCTGACCCCTGCTGCCAGGATTAGTCACTGTTGGAAATTCCTCTCCTGCCCAAGCAGTCCTTCCTGTGTGTCCCTCCATCTTATTTTCTTTAGTCGTCCCTCACTTCTGTGAAACGATATGAAAGGGTCAGATTCCTCCACTTTTATGCTTGTCATTTCCATTTCTAAACTTCCATGGCTCGGTCTTGGCTCAGGATAACAATGCAGGGCTCTGAGCACAGCACTGCGCCACAGTCATTGCCAAATAATGCCAGGTGTTTTTTATTGAGACTTTCCACAGGTGCAAATAGTATTTATTTTCTTCCACAGTTTTTATTAAATGCTTGAAATCTACATACATGCAGGAGAACCAAAGGATGTACATTTGAATGTGAGACGGCAATTTTACACAATATACTTGGGGTTGCTGCTGCCTGCACTTACAATTTTATATAAATAATTATGATGTTAGGCTCAACAGCTTCAAGAACTCGCATTTAAAATGTGCTTGCCACTTAAAATCAAAACAACATAAAGATAGCTCAAGTCTATTTTACGCATGAAAAGTGCTATATAGTGATATGGCCTTTGTTCTTACTCACCCTTGATATTTCATGAAAAGTGTAGGGATTTATCTACTTAAATCAAATAGAACGGTTTCGATGGAAAAGAAAACTTGTCCCCATTAGAGAATCAATGTTTAACTTTTTTGTGAAATATTCCTGGTAGGAAACACTTTAATATGTATGTAAATTCTTCCACAGAGAAAGCAAGAGTCAAGTTTCCTGGTGCAGCTCAAAGTAAAAAATATGATGATTGACAACCCTAAACTTTAATGGCAGCTCAATGTCAGCTGCTCCATTCAGCGGCACTTAAAATGTGATAAGATATTTATAGGCCAATTATACCTTCTCTCAACCACCCACATGCATGAACACACGCTCTTGTGCACGCACACGCAACAGCTCAGAAGCCATGAGTGCATACAGATTGACGCACTTTAACGGTGAAGTATTACTTGCTGTGAGACAACTGTTATTATCTTCTCAAAGTAGAACTGAGAAATCTTTGGGCCAAATAATGAAATTAATGAACTCGAACTTTGCGCAAGCATGTTCTGTAATATTCGTCTCAACTGAAGCACACAGAGGCAATCAGAGTCCATTCACATCGCCATGAGACAAGAAGGTAAATTGGTCTAGACACTGAAGTCACACAGCAATAGGATATATAAAGGGAGCTCCTCCATCTCTCTGATAGTGTTGTTTGGGAGCCGAGCGCATTTACAATTAGGAACATCTTGGATAGAAACATTATAAACTAACTTTGAGAAATAAGCGCATTGTTGTGACTCGACAGATATGTTAGGTTTAGTTATGTTTTTACTCTAGTTTTGTGTTTTGATCTTGTCACTTCCTGTTTTTATTTTGAAAGTAATCTTTCCTCTCATTCCAGATCCCACATTTCCTGCCTTTGTGTGTTTCCCGCCCTTGAGAATGCTTGGCCCTGCCCTGATTGTTTTCACCTGTGCCCATCCCCCTCACCTATATATAGCCCTGGTGTGTTCCTTTGTCAGTTCGTTATGTTTCATGTCGTGAGAACCTGGGCCTTTTTTGACTCCTGATACCTACCTTGAGATTTAGACCTTTTGCCAAGTGAGTTTTTGTGTTGCTGTACAACTTAGCTTTGGCTATTTAACTGCTTTCTATTTTTTGAAAGTACGATTTAGTTTTTGTTATTAAAGAACATTCTATTTTTGGACAACTGTCTTCGAGTCCTGCTTTTGGGTCCTGCGTCCTGTGTCTCGGTTCATAACACGCATTTGCTGAAAGCCATCCTACAATAATAAATAGAGTTGAAACACAAAGAGAACATTACGTTTAGATGCTACAGGGCCACCGCCGAGTGTCCATCACATTGATTGAAGTACTTTATTCTGGTCTTGAATGGCGTAAAATATAGGCACAATCAAACTGCAGTAAGGAAAACTATTTTTGAAATTATGTACTTTTTAAAAATGAAAACATCTAATCAAACACAGGCCAAGAAAAAAAGCCTAACCTTTTTGAAATGGGTTGATTAAGATATATTGGGGTGTAATTTAACCTATCTATGATGCAACTCAGTTAAACCAACTACTTATACTAACCTCAACAACAACATTTAAATATGAACAGTACAATAGAGGGAGAAAAAGGGAGACAGGGTGACTTTGAAAACAGAATATATGCGGAAGGATCCTTCTGCAAACAGAGGGAGAAATACAGATGACCCATGAAGAGACATAGAGGCAGGCAGAACAGTCAATGAGGACGTGGAATAACTAATATAAATAGAAGGTGAATGTTTGCAACAGTTCAAGCATGCCGCAAAATTAGAAATGTTATGTCCTCTCTCTCTCCAGCCTTCCCCTCTTTCTCCCTCTCTTTTGTCTCCTGAGAGTTCCTCTTTGTGGAGAAATCCAGTCATTGTGTGCCTCTCTCTTGTTGTCTGGGTGGATGTTGCTAACACTGCAGACCTGTCAGTCATTCATCTCTAGGGGAGGCGGGCTCTTTGCCTCAGTTGGGGGGAAGTGACTGAGCAGAAAAGTTGATTGGCAGAATGGAGAGGGAGAGGAGACAGTGGGGGAGGAAGCTTAGAAAGTGGAGCAGATGAGCACAGAGGAGAGAAATATATGGAGCGTAAACAGTCTCTTTAGGAGATACAAACAAAGATGGCCAGCATGAGAGAGAGAGAGAGAGAGACTGTACATTCACTAATGCTTTCTTACATTTTTTTTTTAAGAAAAAAGGACATGACTTTATCGAAGCAGGGCAACACCTGAGATTAGTGTGGACAACTTGATTTATATTACTGCTGGTTTGTTTTAGGAGAACAACAACCCCCAAAGGATGGTAGAACAAATGGGATTGAAAAGAATACCTGCTTGGAGGTGGATATGTTGAAGGAATTAAGTTACAGCTAGTAGGAAAAGCAGTGAGAGTTGGCTTGAGTGTGTAGTCTGGAGGAGGATGGTCATTTGTATTAGATAACGAATACTTAACACTCTGAATTTAGGAGAACATTCATGTCAAATGCGTAGGCTCAGGCTTCATCAGAAATTGGCAACATAAAATGACGTCTGGTACCTGAACACAGCCGTGTTTCTTAAATTACTTTGATCAGGATTTCTTCCCAAATCTAGAAGATAGTTTATTCTTTAACGTTTATTTTCCTGGTTAAAACCAATAGGTTGGTGTTAAACATCCAGGATGTCGGCGTTGCAAAATTTAAATGTATGACCTTCTAGTTGTAAGGGCCTCTCTACCCACTACATGAATGGATGATGATTCATTGCGAGCCAACATCTTCATTAAAGGACTCTAATGTGGAAGTCAAAGATTGTTGTCATGAGGGGCCAGTCTTGAAACTTCAATAACACATTTGGCTTATCTAAGTCTCATGTCATTTGGGTGGCAAATGAAGCAATAAGTGGAATGATGTGATCAAGGAGCCAGCCAAATTTCAGGACATCGGGTAGATCATTTGAGGAAGCTGGGTTGGAGGAGTTCTCCAATGCCTTGGCAGTGATTAGGGTGCTGATGTGTGTAGAGAGGTGGATCAGCTGTTCAGTTGGTATTACAAGGCAGGTGTTGCCGGGATAGCAGGTTGTACAGATGGGGAGGACTGTGTATAATGATACTTTGCAATAAGGCTGATTGAAGTTATTGCCAAACGTCTGATTTGCCCTGGTAATGTTTGTGTCCCAATGAGACTGGAAAGGGTTGTTAGGTAGCAAGAGTGGAGGTGGAGGGAAGTGAAAGACATTGTGTGGGAGCAGTGAAGCCCACGAAGCCACAGGCAGAGATGGAAGGTGAGGCCAGAGGTGGTTAAAAAGGCCTACGGTGTAAATATACACGTTACTTTCAAAGAGCCCTGCGGTCTGGAGTTGAGGCAGGTGGAGTGCTGGCAGGAATTCAACATGTGTTGTAGAGATGCCAAAACAGCCTCCGGGGAGACGTGTGATGTTCGCTATATTTATTTTTTCTTATTTGATAATTTTTTGTTTGATTATCATTCTTTTGTCCAAATCCTTTTACAGTAAAACATTCTATGAATAAAAACTCTAAAAAATGATAAAGATTTCAATGTAAAGTTACTATAGAGTGGTGCAGTGATGACGTATTTTTGTAGGACGAACCGGAAGTAAGCTGCGCAAGGGTTGCCTCGACAAAAACGCAATGGGATTTCTCCATAGGATTTTGGAATATTGTAAAAAATTAGATCTGTGGACCTGTTTGATAAATGCACATTTTGTTCAGCTGGTTAATATCCACATGTCTACCCTACTCTTATCATTTTCAAGTCATAAATCTAATCGCCAGGATCAAAATGCTAATGTTATGCTATTAACGAACTACAGCCAAATACAGCAGGGTCGCACGACTTCAACGTCACGCCAACTTAAGATCAATATTCAAAAATACAGATTCAAAATTGTACAAGTTGAAGCGTTTGTTTTAACAGTTTGCAAGACTGCAGGTATTTGCTTTCAAGCAGAACAGGGCAAACAAACTTAGCGTGAGTGTTTACGCGTTCGGCGTAATGACGTACAACGGCCTCGACAACTTCTGTAGTCCTATTCAGCCACATGTTAACAACCATCCTTTTTCAGACACGTAAACTCCTACAGAAGTTGTCGAGGCCGTTGTACGTCATTACGCCGAACGCGTAAACNTTAAACTTTTTCTTTTTTTTTTCTTTAATTTTTTTTTTTTTTTTTTAGATATAATTGTAAAACAATACATGATTGTCACTAAAAGCCTTGTCTCTACATTACAATAAAATATAACAAATAATTGATTAATTAATTTGAAAAACAATTAAAGTTAGTAGCTATTAAAGGCATAAAAAGACAGAAATGTATAATTCTTTCTTTAATAGAAATGTTTCTTCTGCCCGTAAAGTGTCCAAACCGGGCTTGTCTGGATAAGCGCATTTTTAAAACATAGTCATTGTCCATGCCGGTTTCAGTTGGGTTATTTGTCACAGTTGCTCCGATCAGATCGGTCTCCTCCATTTTGTAGATTATTTACGACTTTTGAATCCACATAAACACATCGGCAAAATCCGGCTTACTTTGAGCATGGGTTTTAAAGAGTTTAATCCCTTTGTGAATTGTTTCCACTTGCACCGTCCTTTAATTTCTTCATTCAGCGGGAATCCAAATGAATAAATCCCGAGTCTAATAACCATCAAAATCACTCCAATAGTGCTCCTTAGTTACACTTTCATCCTCCTTTAGCAAAATACTTCACATTCATCTAGTTTGTGACAGTAGTATTAGCATTTTTTGAGACTTTTAAACTTTAATTACCGCTGTTGCGCCCCCCCCCCTTGTGTGTGTGTGTGTGGGGGGGCGCAACTTCCAACAGGAGTCATTTGGGGGGGCTCTTGGGAAAAAAGGTTGGGAACCGCTGCAAATGCATCCTGTGTCGGACTTAAGCCTCCATTCTTTTTCCTCCGTTGGTATGTTGCTTGTAACTTGGGATTTGGGGAGGGACTCGGATGTCTAATGGGACAAGTAGGACATGCTTCTGTTGCTCCATGAGCCTTGAGAGGTCTGGTCCACTGTGGTTTTACCTTTATGCCTGGCCAGGTATCTTCCCAGAACAATGATTAGACACAAGGTGACGAAGACGACTACAGCCACCACTCCTCCGATCAAGGCATGGTCCGTGCCGTGCTGCCCAATGGCGTTGGGATCTGAGGAGGGACAGAGAGAGAAACAAAGAGAGCAGATGAAGGCGCTGTTGTTGATGTGAGGGACTCTGGGCAGGGGGGAAGCAAAATACAGACAATTCAAAACAGCTCGTTCCTGCTCTAATGAGCTGCTGTCATTCCTCTCTGCTTTCACATCATGCAGTCATAGCAGAGCTTGTGAGAATAATAACACGGAGAGAGAGAGAGGAGAAGGGACGGACACCGCATTGACACAAAGGGCGACTATAGGCAGACACACATCCGCCCTGCAAAGTGGAGGGAAAAAGAGAATAAAAGAGGTGAATAATTCAGGATCACCCACACTGTGCTGCAGGAGTCCCCACATGCAAACCAGGGCGGCGGTGGAAGAGTAGTACACAGTAAATAAATCATCACGCGGAAATAAAAAGGAAAGATCAATCTTTCTCTGTGTCCCGTGGAGGAAGGGCTGTTGTTATGAAATGAACTGGGTGTTAGACAGTCTTTACAGGTCCCCAGCTGTTAGAAAAGCAGTGGAATTATGGCAGAGTCATGAGAGAGTGAAGACGAGCCTGTTCACGCCTCATGCAAAAAACCCATGAAAGGTTTCCTCTGGATTTTAAAAGAAAAATGCTTATTTCCTTCTCTCAACCTCAACTCCCTTTTCCACAAAGTCTGGCTAGCAGGTTATTTGAGTTAAGAGTGAGGGCGTGACACTGACGCTGTCCACTGTCGGCGAACGAAAAAAGGTTGACAGTGACAGCGGTGGGGGAGATGGGTAATGGAATAGCCTGTATTATTCATATCAGTCCATGACACCTGAGAAATTAGCACTCATCTCATTATCCTGCTCCGAGTGCCAGGGCATGCCGAAAGCCCACCCTGTCACCCTGTGTGTGTATGTGGGCTCATGATAGCTGAAATATGGCAATGTCAGGGCACGGTAAGCAGTAATAGAAGGGTGGGTTAATACACACAGCACACGTCCTACACTGAGACGCTTTCTCTTCAGTATTCGCCTTTTCTTTCTGTGTCCGCCCATGTGGCCAAATTGAACAGCTGGCCTGCTCTCGCTCCATAACTCTTCATGGTCTGAGTGACCAGGCCGTCATACTTCACTGGCTCCCAGTGGACAAACACACACCCTTAGCGACACACGCGCTCGTACACAGCGGTGTGCGCGGCGTGGTTTCACTGTGTTGCAGTTCTGCTTGGTCAGTGGAGCAGAGCGTAGAGGAATGTTCCCCTGGCACGGCCCAGCAGGGCGAGGACTCGGGCGTTTAGTTACACACATGGTTGTGTCTCCTCACCCCATCTGTCAGGACAGTGAGTGTTTCTTAACCGTCACACACACTCTCTGTCCTCCTGCTGCGCTTCAATACGGCTGTTACAACGCGGTGCGGGCACAAACAAGCCATGACAGTTATATGTCTGCCTATAGGGAACTACAAGCAGTATGCGGGGGGTCGTGTCCAAGAGAAATTCTGAAATGCTGCTACTACTCACTGCTTTAAAGGTCTCCTTTCACGCAAAATGCACTTTTTGATGTATTTTATACATAAATATGTGTCCCCGGGGTGTCGGGAACTCACAAAGTGTGAAAAAATACAACCCTCTCTCTTTCCCTCCGTAACCAAATCTCTTAAAACGGGGGTACAGAATCAGCGTTTCTCTAGCAGGGCTGAAATAGAGGGATATGAGGGATGTCTAAAATGCATGGTCTGTTTGGTATTGTGAGCAAAACACATCGTAGACATGATTTTTTAATATATTTTATATATCTGAGACCCATAATATATGCCTAAAAATAGCAAGATAGGAGATCTTTAAAGGAATACTCAGCTACAAATTGATCTATGGAGAAGAATCGAAAGGATGCTGTGAAGTGCTAGTGCAGAAATAATAGCAACCGCAGTATGATTGTATACATTTACAGTTTCTTCACAAATAACAATATTTTTCTAGTGCCTCCTTAAAGCTCAGAAAATAATCATGTTTAGTGATTTACTGGGAAAGTGACAATTGTTTGCCGCACACTGAGCATATGGATCAATGGCTGGGAAGCAGATTATGCTGCAGCATCGTTTGAAGGGTTTCAATAGATGTTTTTTAAGCTTGGTTCTTCCTCCCATGAATGCATCACTATCTTGTAGTTACTTTAAACCCAGGGTCACTACAGCACTCGTCTGCAAAATAAACAAGCTACACAATTTAAAGTGGAACTGTAATGATTTTTCAGTTTGTTTACAGGTCTTGGGGAGTACTGTGTGAAAAAAGGAAGACGAATGCAAGGAAGGGAACAAATAAATGATGGTTACTCTGGATGTGCTGTATCAGTTTTGAACTTATATTTAATAATTGTCTGACAATGTTACAGATGGAAAATGTATTCATTGGTCTTTGACAGGGGGACCATGAAGCTGAGGGGGTCTTTAGAGTTACAAAAGGGTGCCAAAAAACTATTGCTTGAAAATAATTAGAATCTATTTTTTTTTATTTTTTTTTTTTTTTTATAAATATGACAACAAATTCATTACAGTTACACTAATCCGACATATTAGCAGTAAAGATAAATTGTCCTATTTGTAGAAATGTTTTTATCTACACAACATTAGTAATCGACAAATTGTTGCACACTAATCCTCATGCTATAATGTGATCAAGCTAACATGCTAAATCGTCTCCATAATGGTAAACTAGTCATGCTATGGCAACACATAATTTGAATAGCTTAGTTTTGAAGTATTAGTATTTTATATTTCATAAAAGGGTTTGTTTATAAATGGCACTTCAAGCATTAATATGCAACTCAATTGTATTTATATGTAGAGGGTAGGGATGGGAACGATTAATAGAATATTCAAAATTATTTAGGTATTCGAATATGAGTTATTAAGATTTTTACAAAAAAACTTTTTTATAGGATATGTACATTTCGGTTAACCGGTTAACCGTTTTTTGGGGGGTCGAATATTCGAATATACATTTGCTTTCAAATTCCCATCCCTAGTAGAGGGGGACCTGCTCTTTCAGCTAAGGGTTTCTTGGCCTGAAAAACATTTAAGACCCCTGGATTAGAGGATCTTTCAAGCCAACTTGGGGTGCATATTTGACACAGAAGGATAGATTTGTCGTGGTCTATTCCATTAACTTGATACTTATGAGGCAACAGAAGCAGGTGGCCTGAATTCATCACAACTTTTAAGGTATAATTACTTCTAATGCTATCAAAAAAATAGTTCCTTCATTCTGTTCTAGCCCTCTGCTACTCATGGAAGGAGAAAAGTACAGCATGATGTACGAAGACACACTGCTAGAGGATATGAAAAAAGTCAAGATTGATGGACAGGGAAAGGCTGCATTTTGAGTCGGAGCAAGGGGAAGAGCACAAGGAGAAGAGAGATTTAGAGCGGAGGGTTATACATTTTCATGGCTCCAGAACACATTATGTTTTTATAAGTGCACGTGCATTCTTTTCTTACGATTAAATATGAGAGGGTGGCAGAGCAAACTCCTATTTAATATTTACAACCCTCCTTGTCGCTTGGCCCTGCGAGTTGGGCTTGTTTAATATATATTATATTAAATATTAATATATTAAAGGGGTTCACGGCTTCTCTTAGTCACTGTGTGGTCGAACTTTACCAAAAGTGTTTGTCTCCTAAACTCTGTGACTAACTCCTCGTCTGATCTGTTTCACTGAAACTGGCAACATATGGTACTTTGAGAGAATATGTGATAGTGAAACTGAGTGGGTTTTCAATGGGATGTGTGAAGGCAGCGAATGGGAAACATGGAGTCACATTATCATGGCATACTGCACTTCAAAAGGAAAGCATGTGGGAAGGCTGCAGTACATTTTAGGACAAACTCCCAGAAAAGTTTTTTGTCTGTGAACAAAATGTGACAAAACTAAACAATGGTAAGTCTGAGATTGGATCCAGAAAGGTTGGATAGAGATTTGGAATTGAAGTGCAAAGGAACATTATTTGTTCAACTGAAGGCTCAAATACTCCATCAAGGGCTCAGCTGGAGAGAAATGATGAGTCTACAAGAAAAAACCTCCCGACCTCCTCCTTCAATCAGGTCATTTTCCTGTTTTATAACAGCCGGATATGACCTTGCTTTCTACAAAATTATAAATTAAGTGGTGAATTTCTTTACCCTGCATAAATTATATGAAAGGAACATCTATTAAATATCCTAATGGGTACTAATGGGTTTAGTTTGGTTGATTTAATTAGTTGTAGATGGCACTGAGAAATAGCACATTTTGTCAGAGTATCTCAAGCTGTTATAAGCACACATGAGTAAAGTTGTCTAAATTTGTTATTTTTTCACAAGCAAACAGACATGAAACATTTCTCAGAACGGTTGCTATTATGTTTTAGGTTCAGCAAAGTACACACTACTAACACTGTAAACTGGTGTGGGCAATATATATTCACTATCCTTGTATACACTTGCTTAAATAGGTCTCCTGCTGCTCTTAAAATTCAACAGAAAACAACGAAGCTACAGCTTTTTATGTGAGCAGCCAATAGTTCACCACTTAGCCAAAGAAGGCTTGTTAGAAGGGCAACTCACTGCATGCCTGCGTGTCCTTCCATCATTCCTCAAAGACCATATTCTCTGTGTATGTCTGCAGAACTTCACAGGAGATGTTTGCTGTTCTGTAAAGTATTGTTCCGGCCTCTCTAGGGCCTAACACTGTACCATCCTCTGAGCTGCCTTTCATCTAAAGTCATCTTTTAAATTAACAATCTCAACTGATCAGACTCCTTGATCATATTAGCATGCAATTCAAATGGTCTTTGCATACTGTAGCTTAACATACATCCCATTCTTTTAAATGTGTCCTCTATCTTTTTACTTTTGAATTACACCTTTTCATCTCTATCTTAGCTATATATAGCTCAGTGAAGCAATGGTTTCAGTTGCTCGGATCAATAAAGCAAGCTAGCTTAAGAACGGGCTTATAGAGCTGCAGTGTCCTTGTGTCTATGGGTCAGAGAATCTTTAAC